TGAATAAAACACAGTTTCCATGAAAGAAGGCATTGCTGATGAAAATTGGATAAGGAAATAGGTAATTTACTGGGAAGGAAATTGCATTTTAATAAAAAAAGGTAAGCCACCAAGTTGGTCAAAGATCTTATTTGGAATAAAAAACCATACGGACATTGGATTTTTAAGGCATCGCTTCAGCCAATTTACTTTAAACGTATTCACTGTATCAGCAAAATCCAAAAAATCCCAACCACCTTCGCTCTTAGAGGTAGCAAGCATTTCTCTTTTTAATTTGTGGGGCCTATTTTTCCAAACAAAATCTAAAAATAGTTTATTAATTTCTTTTATAGTTTTATTGCTGACAAATAAAGAATGAGCAGAATATACAAAACGAGAAAGCCCTTCAACCTTAGACAAAAGAACACGACCGTATAAAGAGAGATCCCTTTGAAGCCAGTTGTTAAAAATATATTTAGTTTTAATAATTTTATCAGAAAAGTTTAAATTATGTCTACAAATTAAATTTCTTGTGATATGAATTCCTAAATATTTTACACTATTCTTAACTGGAATACCTTCTAAGAGTACATCATCTATATCATGAACAGAGATAATTTCACACTTCGACATGTTAAGTTTTAGACCTGAGGCACAAGAAACTAATTCCAGAGCTTTTAGTAGCTGCTTTTTGTCTTTCAAGAACAGCGTAGTGTCATCCGCTAACTGTGCAATTTTGAATTCCTTATCAAATACACTAATTCCTTTCAAATTATTATCTTGGGTGATTCTTAAACAGAGTAACTCTGTGGCTAAAATAAATAAAAATGGGGAGCTTGGACAGCCCTGTCTGACTCCACGATGGACGTCAAATCTCTTAGAGGTGTCAAAGTTCACAATCACTGAGCTGTTAATACCCTTGTAAAACATGGTAACAGTCTCAATAAAAGCTTTACCAAAACCAAATAATTCCAGAGTACGAAATATAAATTTGTGTTCTATGGAGTCAAAAGCTTTATGAAAATCAAGAAAGAGTATGAGACCGTCAGAACAGATTGAGTTGGAATAATCCAGCAGGTCTAATACTAATCTTATGTTGATAGAAATGTGCCAGCCTTTCAAAAAACCAGACTGACATTCTGAAATAATGTTTCCTAAACCATAGCTTAATCTTTTGGCATACACAGAGGCTAATATTTTATAATCTAATGTTAACAAAGAAATGGGCCTCCAATTATCGATTATTAAAGGATCCTTATCTGGTTTAGGAATAAGAGAGATGACTCCCTGTTTCATAGTATTGGTCATTTCTCTCTGACTGATGCATTCCTTGTACATATGAAATAAAGGTAATTTGATAAACTCCCAAAACTGAAGATAAAATTCAGCTGAAAGCCCGTCGATCCCAGGAGATTTACCTTTTTTCATTTTATGTAAAGCTTGTTTAATTTCATCAATATTTAAAGGTGAATCACAAATTTGTCTGTACTCTAAATCAATATTTTTAATATGATGTTTAATTAACTCAATAAATTCTTCAGAAATATTGTAGTTAAAATTAGAGGTATAAAGGCCACCATAGAATTTAGCAACAAAATCTGATATTACTCTTTGGTCTTCTGAAATGACTCCATCTATATTAAGTGCAGAAAGAGTCTTCCTCTGACCATTTAGTTTTTCCAGGGCGAAGAAATATCTAGAATTTCTTTCCCCTTCCTCCAGCCATTTAGCACGAGATCTTGTATATGCACCTTTGGCTAAATCTAAGTAGGCTTCATCAAGCTCCAAATTTAGCCTATTTATTTCTAAAGTATCCTCTTCTGTAATATCACTTTTAGCTAGTAAAGCATTAAGTTTATTAACCAACTCCAAATCAGTTTGATGTTTACTCTTTTTAATTTCTTTACTTCTTTTAATTGCTATATGTCTAGCTTTATATACTCCCATGCTTTTTTATAATCTTCAATTGAGTCAGTGAATAATTCTTTAATAAGATTGATAATACTATCATTGAATTTTTTATCTTTTAACAAAGTATTATTAAGTTTCCAATAGCCCCTAAGTCTCGGGTTATCATGGATGTCACTCAGCTTTAAACAGACCAATTTATGATCTGATAAAGGGGCAACAGCGTGAGAAATATCTTTTACATAACTGACGATGGAAGAAGAAATTAAAAATAAATCAATTCTAGATCTAAAAGAACAAATATTATTTGACCAAGTAAAATCTTTAGTATAAGGATTATAGAATCGCCATGTATCAGTCAGAGAGAGATCCGTACAAATCGAAAAAATTAAGTCATTACTCATCCCACCGTGGAGTCTAGGGGGGTGCCTATCCAAATAATTATCTGTACATTCATTGAAGTCCCCCCCTAAAATAAAATAAGCATCAATATATTTTTTATTTAAATTCTGAAGCTTATCAACTAGGTGAGAAAACATTGCTCTATTGGATGTATTAGAATTATAACCATATACACAGCAAGTTATGAAAGTGGTATTATCTTGTTTGATTATAGCTATAACCCATCTGCCTTCTTCAGAACTTAAAGTTTCTAAAATAGTACCTTTAAAACGGTGTAACATAATTTCAACTCCAGCTGAGTGATTGCTACCATGACTAAAGAAGATTGAGTTTCCCCACTGATTCCTCCAAAAGTTAACATCCGTTTCCCCTGAGTGGATTTCTTGAAGAAAGATAAGATCAGCTGCACTTTTCTTACAAAATAAAAAAATTGCTTTTCTTTTCAAATTGTCCCGCAAACCTCGAACATTTAGTGTTACAATAGACAAAGACTTGAACTTGAACTCCAAAAAACCACCAAACAATTTAAAACAAACAACGAAAGAGTAGTTCCCTTTAGCTTAACCCTAAACGAGAAGGGAGAGGTGGTTAATAACCTAATTATATTGACTTTAAGGTGAAATAAATAAAATAAATGAGGTCAAGATTAATCATCAAAATAACAACAACCAAGGCTAAATAAACATAGTAACTATCCTGTTACTAAGAATGGCACAAATGGCGTTGTTTACCGTTTTAAGTCTTCTAGAACAAAGCATGAGAGAGGTAGCCAGTGTCCTTAAAACTCAGCTTAGGTAACGTCCGCGTAGAATACTTGCTTCCCATCAATCAAGGCAAAGGAGCTGCGGAAGCTTGCTCTTTTGCCCTCCTCGCGTGCCTTCTTCACGAGTGGCCAGAGCTTGTCCCGCGCTGCTCTATCTTCAGGAGATAAAGGCTCCGAAAGATGAAGTTTGTTTTCGCGCAGAAATTTGCAGCCCTTGGCAGCGCTCCAAACCATGTCACGGATGTGACGTAGTGAGAAGAGGATTATGATCGATCTGGCCTTACCCTCCGATCGTTTCGGACCCAGACGGTGGGTGACATCAACACTGTCCTGGAGTCTGTCTCCAATCCCAGGAGCAACCTTTTCTAGTACGTTAAGGCCACGCTTCTGACATCTTCGCTTTCTTTTTCCGCAACACCGTGCAACTTTAGGCACCATCTCCAACTGTAACGGCTACATTCCTGTACACCTGCTTTCATTGACTTATTTTCATTTTTCAGCGCTTGGACTTCTGATTCCAGATGACCAATTGCCTCTTTATGAAAACCAACATCTACAATAAGCTGTTGTACCGTCGCAGTTAGACTATTAATTTGATTCGAGGTAGCTTCAGTGGTAACTTCGATCGCTGAAATTTTCTGAAAAGTCTTATCGTGTTTTAAAGCCAGTTCGCGTATTGCAGCCAAGACATCTTCATTACCATTACCACTGACGATAGATTCCGCACGCTTCGATTTTTTCGCAGCTGGTTTCTGAGGAGTGTCTGTCAGGGCAGCGAGAACGACTTCGTTATCAAAGCCTGGGCAAGTATCAAACCATTGTAATTCTGTATCTCTCTGTGACTTAAGTCCAATGATACTAGAGGCCGAAGCTGAATCTTCAAAGAGTTCAACCACATCAGACGCGTTAGAAGCCATGCTGTCAAGCGCTTGTTTAACTTTCTTCTTTCCTCTTTTTCCCATGCGTAAGTATGTCAAAGGGAATTGTATCACTTTTACAGTTATTGTATGTGCATTATCACCAATCTAAACAATTGGTTATATCACCACTTCACCTTTATGTCCCTGAAGAGCAAACACACAACCACCTACATTGCCGCCATCTTGGCCTCTCTTTTTTAAGAATAAGTAATTCCGCCAGAGTGTCTCTTTGGGGTCATTTTTGCCGGTCCCAAGCCCGGATATAGGAAGAGGGTTGGAATTATGATATAAAAAACAAGAATCGACAGAAGAAAGTTCATTTGTAGTTCTAAACGTATTTAGGGTGTTTTTTAACCACCTTTTGTCTCTCCCACGACATTATTCCTCTCTCCTACAGCGTCCATTATAATTACATGCACATTATGCAAATTAGCCGATGGCGTCATTTAGCGACTTCTAGCGACTTTTGGGACAACCAATAGCGACATTCCTTGCTGAGGAGTTGGCAACAGTGCAGATACCCCTAGTGTGGACCGTACCATTTTAACCACCTCGGCGCTAGAAGCAGCTTAGCCAGTTGGTTGCGTCATTCATTCAAATTGAGCAATTTGTTCGTTGTGATTTCAAGATTCTTTATTCGTCACATACATAGTTATAACAAGTACAACATGTAGTGAAATGATCCCTGACCAATTCTGTTTTTCAGTTTTATATTTCAAGACTTGGTGAATTGATTTTTTCTTTTTCATAACTTAGCCTACCCTTTTTAGTTTTGTTAATATTGGCAATAGTGAAAAGTGTTTTGTTGGGTTCAAATATGTTTGATATAGGCCATCCAATTAAGGTAAATGTCATGTTTTTAGTTGTTTTAATCTGATGAGGAATATTTAATTTTATTTTTTGTTGTTTTACTTTTCAGTTTTCCCCCTGAGGAATTGCCACCTTACTGTAGTCAGAGGCTTTGTGTGCCTCAGTGACCCTAAGAGCTACACCAGCAGAAGCTTAGCCTTCAGGTGGGACCCCCAAGTTGGACAGGTCTTAGGGTAGAGGCTTGACAAAGTACAATCCAATTACATGACAAAAACCTTTATCCAGAGCACCACCACCACCACCCCAACCCTTTCCCGCCTCCATGGCCACCATGTGCCCCCTTCACATTTCTGTCTGCCCCCTCATATATGCATGTCTAAAACCGGCCCCGACTCTCACTGTCGCCTATGTTCATTTTTTAAACTGGTGGAAATGCAGGCAGATTCTGAAAAGGCATCAAGTGACAACCAGCCCAGCACCGGCTCCGTGTTGGTGGAAATGAGGCATCAGTACAGTGTTCCCAGGTCCAGCCCAAGGTCTGCTTAAAACCCACCCAACAGAAGCTGAAACTAGCCCAATAAGAGAGAGAGAAGGATTTCTCTCTAAACCAGATACAGAAAAGCTTGTTCATGTGTTTATTTTCAGCAGGCTAGACTATTGAAATGGTGTCTTCACAAGTCTTGGTAATAAATCAATCAGACAGCTGCAGATCATCCAGAATGCTGCCACCAGAGTCCTCACTAACACCAAGGACTAACACCGGTCCTTAAATCACTGCACTGCCTTCCTGTGCATCACAGCATTGTTTTTAAAATATTATTACTTGTCTACAAGGCACTAAATGGCACTAATTTCCTTGAACGTTGTGAAGCATCCAGACCCTTTAAGTCATCTGGCAAATGTTTACTCAGTGTTCCCAGAATGAAGACCAAGCAGGCTGAAGCAGCTTTTAGTCTCTATGCTCCCTGTCTGTGGAACAAGCTTCCTGAAGACCTGCAGTCTGCTAACACTGTCAGCTCATTATAATCAGGGCTTAAAACGTTATTGTTTGCTGCAGCTTTTCAATAAATTAAATCAGCAGGAGTTTAGTCATACGCTGCATCTACAATGTCACTTCTTTTTAGTTAACTGTTTATTTGTTTTTTGGGCTTTTAGAGTTTTTTAAATTGTCTTTTTAATTGACAATGAACGTGTTTGTAAGTCCCACACCAAAGTTCCGATGTACCGAAAAAGTACCACAGGTGCAATGGTACTTTTGGTACTGGAACTTCTGGTACTGGTACTCAACCGGAAGTCAATGGAAAAGGGAAAGAACCAAAAGTACCATACCTGATGCAATGGAAAAGCACCCGGAACAAACTTGCCTTACTTTGCAATTGGATTTAAAGTCTACTGAGATAAAAAGCTCATGTAAATGTGAAAGACCAGGAGGCAGCGGGAGAGAGAGAGACGCTCCCCTAGCAGTAGAAAATGAAACACAATAAAACACACTCCACCTCATACAGGGAAAAAGAAGCGTGTGTGTGAACAGACTCACAGTGTAAGAATTCTGCTCTGGTCCTGGGCACTAATTTACTTAAATTTACTTGTGGGAGATGGACTTCACTCACTGTGGAGATAACAACAGTAGGGTATTATCATTATGATGGACAATAACAGGCATTTTAACAAACTGCAAATCATGGTAAGTTACACATAATACAAATTTTTGGTTTCTATAATGTAGAAGAAGCATGTTTCATGTGATCTGAGTTTTGCAGCCAGTAGAATGTGAAGCTCTTTCACCAGTTATCACAAAGATTTAAACTTATTGAAAACCAACTGACTTGGTCACACAAATGTGAGGCTGACTGTACTGCATACTCTCTCTGCATGGTCTACATCAGGGGTGGCCAGTCTTACCCACAAAGGGCCAGTGTGTACGCAGGTCTTTGGGATAACCTTTAGGTCAGCTGTTCAACCCCAGGTGTGAGGACTCTTCAGTCAATCAGTCCTATATTTTGTAATTCAGCGAAAGCCTGCAGATAGCAGCCCTTTCTGGGTAAGATTGGCCACCCCAGGTCTATATTAACATGAACAGACTAGAAAATGTATTAACCTGGGTGATGGATCTCTGCCATTTTCATTCTGCAAACATTCTCCAGTTGATCTTTCAGTTCAGAAACC